CTCTAGTGACATATCCTAATAGACAAGGGTAACCCGTAACTGGGTTTAATCGTTAGGTTTTGAAAATAATTGGGTATAAGAATAGCCTTTTACTATTATATTTTGATCTAAAACATAACTACAAATGAGTTGTAGTCTAATTGAAACAATATTTACTAATAGTAGCAGTGTTCCCAAGTTCAAATCACATAGACCCTACCACTTAAATATTATTTGTACCCATATGCAGAATACTATAGGAGGTTGAATAATCATTTTCCATATTTTAAGGGTGTTCCACTATCACTAAATTTTTTTTACCCATACACAAACTATTATCGAAAGTTGGATAATCGTTTTTCCAAATTTTAGGAGTGTCCCGAGACACCCCTAAACCTCTATGTATCCGCCCCTGCCCCTAGACACCATGAGTATTTGGTGATGGCCTTCGGTTTATGTAATGCCCATCAACATTCCAAATTGCTATGAATGACATCTTCTAACCAGTACTACGCATGTTTGTGCTAGTATTTTTTATGACATATTGGTTTGTAGCCCTTCATGGGAATTGCATCTGCAGCAGGTTTTTTAGATTATGAGAGGGAACCAGTTCCTTGTCAACGCATCATAGTGTGCCTTTGGATGCAAGAGGTGGACTACCTGGAACACATTATATCATAACAGGGAGTGTGGGTGAACCCCTCTAGGATACATTTGATGGTGGACTAGCTAGAGCCGAAGACAGATACAAAGTTAAGAGGTGGACTACCCGGGCACAATATATCATAATAGGGAGTGCGGGTGAACCCCTAAAAATACAACTGATGGTGGAATGGCTAGACTCGAAGTCAGTTACAGAGTTAAGAGGCTTACTGGGGTGACAGGGTACTACCGGAAATTTGTGCATAATTAAAATCTACTAGCCATACCACAGACAGACCTGCTGAGGAAGGGAAGGTTCTGATAGAAGGCATGTGAGGTCTTCTGAGCCTTAAAGAAGGCTATGACCAGTACCTCAACTTTGGCCCTGCTAGATTTCTTTCGACTTTTTGGCATCCAGAGTGATGCATCCGGGTGAGACATTAGGGCAGTGTTATCCCAAATCGCGTTCATGAGTATGATGTTGTTCAAACCTGGAGATCGTAGCTAATGGGACATATGTTACATATCCACACCGACCATCAGGGCCTCAAGCATCTTCTCGACCAAAAGGTTTTTACTCCATATCAACATAAGTGGTTGGTGAAGGTGATTGGATATGACTACGAGCTACACTACAAACCGAGTCCGACCAATAAGGCCACAAAATGCCTTGTCTCTAAGCTATGCATGGGCAGCTTTGGCAGCAGTAGTGAGGCCAGTAGTGTGGTTGTGGGATGAAGTGTGAAGGGCAATGGAGACCAGATGGATTTAGAAGGTGATGACACTTCATTAATAGTGTTGTTTATTCGTTTATCACTCTCATTCTTGATACATTTTCTCCTTCTATCAAAGCATTTTTCGTCATTTCACTGGTATTTCTTAACTAAATCACAGCTATTTGATCAATGAGTCTTTGATAGACCTAGGATATGTTATTGTGCTCTTTGATGCCTTCTCGGTGTGTTTCTTATGGTTTCAAAGGTACAAGGCAACCTATGGATGACTGGATCAAACAGTGGCCACGCCTTTCCATCCTCCGCCTTGGGTTCGTCGGTCGGCAGTGCGGGCTTCTCTCCGTCGCCGCTGCTCGTCCGTCCTCAGCATCTCCTTCACCGAGCTCTCCATCCTCTGCAGTGCTTGCTGGAGTTGTTCTTCTAGTTGTGCGATCTAGTCCTCTTTTGAGAGTTGTGATGAACTCATAGTCGAACGGGACTCTGATACCACTATAAGAACTATGGATTTCTGAGAAGCATCAAGAAAGATTGAGAAGAGAATTAGAGTTCAGGATTGAGAATTGAGACGAATTTGGGGAAATTGAGAGAAGAAGAAGATATAGGGATTTAGAGATTTCAATATTATTTTCTGCTTAATCTGAAAATAAGAGTGTTCTCCCTTTAATAGGTGCTAACAAATAACAAAATACCACCTCACTAACAAATAAGGGTTTGGCCTAGTGGTAATACCACTAGCCTAGAATCTGAATGTCTTAGGTTTGAATCCTTTCAATAGTACCTGAATCACAAAAAGTTGAAACTTATATCACCCTTATAAAAAAATACCTATATCACTCTTATAAAAAAAAATACCACCTCACTAAAAAATACGGTCGAGCCCTTTACCCTCCCCACTCGACCAGGCCGTGTTTCTAACACGATCTCTGCCATTTCCCGTGAATTTCCAGTTCAGGTCATGCTCTCCCTCCTCCGAGCTTATTGCATTTTGGTATGCCGATTTAACCTGGATACTCTCGTCTCCTTCAGTTCCTCACACGACAAACAAGATCATGAGCAGTGGCGGAGGGAGAAGGTGACCCACCCTGCCTCGGGATAAATTTTGATAAATAAGGTATAATAGTTAATTGACAATGAAGATTAGGGCGCATCTCAATTGAAAATGGTTGATTGATAGGTCTTGTGTTCTAATACCGATGACCTTATTCATTAAACACATGAAATTTCGATTTGTACAAACTTCAAGCACATATAAGTTAGCTTTCTTTTGAAGGGGGTTGCCAGTAAATGGTTACAATTCATTATTTTTTACCTCTCCTAACAACTCTAGTTATTGATACTAGATGATTGCTTACAAAGAACACCATTTGAAAGTGAAAGAATAACTAAATCGTCAAGTTATTGATACTAAATGATTCTTGACAAAGAATATCATTAGAAAGAGAACAACTAACTAAATCATGACTAATAGTTTGATATAAGTTGCATCATTGAATCTCTTTCAACAACTCAAATTATTGATACTAAATGGTTCTTGACAAAGAACACCATTAAAAACGAACGACTACCTATACAATGAATAATTGTTTGGTACACAAAGTGAGATATTCTTGATAGTTTCGATGATTAATGTATATTTATTTATTAAAATTTTTCAAATATAAAATTATATCATAAATATTTAAAAATTTAATAAAAAATGAACACACCTTAGACAAAATTCTAGCTACGTCCTTGCTAAGGGCGTAGTCGAGGAGAGGAAGCATCTCCCCATTGTCAGGCCATCGGTCCGTCCATTATTCCCACCATTTCCCGATTCCTCTCCACAAAGTCAGACCAATATCCCTAATAAGTGGTGTTGTTCAGCAATAGAATCCGAGGATACTTTAATTACTTGTAGGAAAATGGAATTTTTCTTTGTGTAATCCAGAATTTCCCTACAATTATGTTGGCCTCCTTGGGATGTTCATCCCCTTGGAAGCTTGCTGCAATTCTGTTGTAAAAGGGTACACTGGTTCCCTTTTATTCCCATAAAAAGTTCCTAACTACAGGTCTATCAAGTGATAAGACAAACAGGACCTGCAAATGATGGCATCATGGACAAAACTCAGCTGCACTAAGTAAGCATATTGCTAGGTCGGTAAATGCTGCACTAATAAGTTCATCATTTCAATGAAACTCCAAAAATGCTTCCCTGGAACAGACTCTTCAACCCCAAAAGAAACTTCTCTCACAAGTAAACAGAGAGACCAGATAATCAGCTTTTAAGGAACTCAAATCGCAATCAATGGTTATTTTATTAACCTCTTATAGACAAAGATGAAAATAGAATGCACAATGTATTTACATGTCATAAGCTTCCGACCACATCAAGGTGCACAAAAACTCATAACATGTTTCATAAGCTCTATATGTTCTAGTAGGCAACTCAAAGCAGAACAAAAAATTCCACCACACCTGATAGCAAGAAACAGAGACAACAAACAAACAAACAACAAGAGTGAAGCATTGATCCGAGTTTCTATTATGCTCGACACTGACGAGAAAAGAGAGGCATTCATGGCTTCAGAACCCTCTCAATTGCGGCTGCATAGAATTCCTTGGGCATAGTACCAACCACGGTCTCTCGCTTTTCTCCATTCTTGAAAAGCAGAACTACAGGCACAGCCTTAATCTCATATTCCTCAGCAATTTGCGAATCATTATCTGCATTGAGCACAAAGCACTGAATTCTTCCTTCATACTCCCCAGCAAGCTCATCAATTACTCGGTGGACCATCTTACAGGGGCCACACCAACTTGCATGGAACTCAACTAGGACAGGGGTATCACTTTTCAGAATTGACTTCTCCCAAGAGTCCTTGGTAACAACTGCTGCTGCTGCTGAACATAGCGAAAAACATAGTGGTTAAAGAAGCCTGTCTTTACTAGACTCTAGATGTTCACTGAAATCTGTGTAGGACAACTTGATCTAAACCAACCATAAAGCAAGCAATAGAAAACAACACTTAATCAACTCCCAAGATTCTTCTAGGAAACTCTCATCTAAGGAAGATACCATCTGTTTGAGCTGTTGGATCATCTAATACTATCCAGGCGATACAGTGATACAGATCCCTCAAGGGTACAAGCATATGCCAAATGTTCCTAGCAGGCCAGTAACTACGTATTCAGACTCATCATTGAATTGCATGTAGTCACCATCCATCGCTTCAGTGGGTTGCTCAACTAAAGCATGAAGAGAAGCAATTATATACCAACAAGGCAAAGATTCTATGGAGGGGGTGCTCCCCATAAGCACATTCTAACCATTCAGTACTCTCAACTTCATACACGAAATGAAAATCAATCATTCTCCAATCTGAGACAGAATGCAGGAGCACTCTGCACTCAGTCTCTAACAACATATTAGCCTAATATGGCTGTAGAAACAGATAATGCAAGTAAGAAGACTATCATCATATTTGGAGAGAGACGACTAATGAATTAAGGTTACAGGAAGATACAACAAGATGTGTTCCCTTACTGCTCTAATCAGAATCAAAAGAAAAGCAGGTACAGATAACTAAAGATAACATTGTTGTTCCCTTTCTTTCAATTGAAAGCTCAGCCACTGAATTGCTTTCTGCCAATCTCTGACTCAATGTTCTAACGATAATGTGCAAAAGCTCTATTGGCCTCCGCCATTCTATGGGTCTCCTCTCTCTTCCTTACAGCATCACCACTTCCTTTGGCAGCATCGATTAACTCATTACTTAGTTTGAACACCATATCCCGACCTTGCCTCTTTCTAGCTGCCACCAGCAGCCAACGGATCGCAAGTGCTTTGCCCTGAGTCGTGTCTACTTCAACAGGAACCTGTTGAGTTGCACCCCCAACACGCCTAGATTTCACAGCTACATCAGGAGTAACTCCTTGCACTGCTTCCCTCAACACTGCCAATGGATTTTGTCCCGTCTTTTCCTGAACCCTCCCCAAGGCTCGGTACATAATGAAATAGGCCAGTGACTTTTTCCCACTTTTCAGGACTCGGTTAACGAACATGCTAACTAATCGATTACGGTAAACTGGGTCGGGTTTTGCCGTTTTCTCTTTCTTGCCACCTTAACAATTGACAAATTCCGTCAGAGAAGCAAGCGCAAAATTCAAACAAAATCTTCACTACTCCGCCGGGAAGGTTCCTACCAATGAAATCAGAAATGCTCGAGAAACAGAAACTGATTTTGGTGCAAACCCTAAGCATGAATGGATTGACAACGGTGGACCGCAATCAAAATTGAAATGTATCAGATGTGAAAAGAAAGTGGCGGAATGGGAAACATTTCAAGGGTATTTTTTGAAACTAAGATGAAGAAGTTTCTACCTTTGGATCCGCGCATGCAAACGACCTGGAGGGGAGAAGACGACGGGGAGCTGGTTAAACGGAGACCTAATCCTCTGACTTCGGCGGAGAAGTTGAAACCGAAGGAGATTGCCGAGTTGGAACTGAGCTCCGCCGGTTGACGGAGTGGGGCAGAACCAGAGAGAGGAAGAGGGCGGAAGCACGCTGAAGTAGAAGCCGCCATTTTCAGAGCGCCGGAAGAGTTCTTCTCGGTGTGAAAATGGAGAAGACGAAGTAGCGAATCTGGATGTAGGAATAGATCAGATAAGGAGAGGAAAAAGAGCTGTGAAATTAAAAACAAAAATGGAAAAAGTTTTTTTTTTTAATTTATAGTTGTTACTTGTTAAATTAAATAAAAAAAATATCACACCCGGTGGGACTCGAACCCACAATCGTTTGATTAGAAGTCAAACGCCTTATCCATTAGGCCACGGGTGCTTGTTGTTATTGATAGGATGCCTATTATCTAATTTTAATTAGTGGGATGTTCAAGTAGTATTCCAAATTGTAGTTTGACAATTCAGCTCCAACCAAACTCATATACTTTATTGACAAGTCACTGAGATGCCATCTAGTTGGGCTGATGTACAAAAGAGGGAAATATCCACAAAGCCATCTAACACAATGATCCTTCAACAAGGCTTTTCAATGGAACAGCCTAATGCCAATTCCAGTTCTCTATTGGTCATAGCTTTGACCTGACAAAGTTGCAAAGTTCAATCACAACTACATCCTGAACACACCAAACTTGGTGTCTTCAGAGGGGCGGTTCATGGAAGCAGATATACAGAGCCCTATAACTTTTCTCGTGTCTGCTGGATCGATGATGCCGTCGTCCCAAAGCCTCGCAGTTGAGTAGTATGAACTACCTTCCCTCTCGTATGCTTCAACCACTTTCCCCTTGAAGCTTTCCTCCTCTTCAGTGGTCCACTGCAGAATCAAAATGTACACGTCATGATTCGGCGCTAATCCAGAAACTCATTACACAACGCCAGATGGAAGAATGAATTGACTTTTACCTGGATCCCCTGCTTCTTCTTGTTTGCCTTTTCAATCTGAGATAGCACACCGGCAGCCTAAAAGCAAATTTGGGAAGAAACATGTCATGAGAGAAGACATTAACTTGTCAAATCAAGTTGCCGGCTTTCAGTTCAATGAAGAAGATTAAGTACCTGCGCTCCGCCCATGACTGATATTTTAGCATTTGGCCAGAGGAACAAGAAGTCAGGGCTATATGCACGACCGCACATTGCATAGTTTCCAGCGCCGAAGCTTCCACCAACCATGATGGTTACCTTAGGCACCTACACCACGGAAATAGTTATAGGAATCAGGTTTGTTCGTGTCCAATTGTACCATGTCCCAAACATCTGCGAAACTTTGTTTTCAGTTACCGAAATCATACTCCATTGAAATGTTACTTTGAGGTGGTAATCAACATCTAACAGGAGAAGTGCCACCAACCTTTGCACAAGAAACAGCCATTACCATCTTCGCACCCGATTTCGCTATACCATTTGCCTCAGATCTAGAGCCAACCTACAAAACCAGCAAACCACCATGACTCGAAGGCTATCAAAATTCATAACCAAGAAAGAAGCACAAAGCTGACCAACTTACCATGAATCCAGTGATGTTCTGCAGGAAAACTAGAGGAATGTTACGCTGACTACAGAGTTCAATGAAATGTGCCCCCTTCAGAGCAGATTCATTAAACAATATGCCATTATTTCCAATTATTCCCACAGGTTGACCGAAAATTTTAGCGAAGCCTGTCACGAGGGTCTGCAGAGATGCAACTGAGATTCCATTACTCAAAAGGTCAAAGCCTAAGCCAAAGAAAGGTATCGAAGGGTTCTCACAGGTGCTCACCGTTCCATATAATTTCTTGAACTCATCAAACTCACTTCCATCAACAATTCGGGCAATAACTGATCGAATATCAAACGCCTGCTTGTGGTCTGCGGGGGCAATAGTTCTCAGCTCCTTTATGTCGTATAATGGCTCTTTGTACTCGAGACTTAAGTTATGTCCTTCATTGGCCACTCGGCATTTTCCAGCCATGTGCAAGTTCTTGATAATGTTCCTTCCAAGCGCTAGTGCATGCAATTCATCTACAATTGAAGGGATAAAAATACATACACATGATCAGTTCTATATTTTCATTGTTTATATGCCCTTGTTCATCAGTTTCTTCCTACCTTGAGCAAAGTAGTCTGAAACTCCTGATGTTTTGCAATGCAAGGAAGCACCTCCTAAAGCTTCAGCAGATACTTCCTCTCCTGTAGCAGCCTAACATGAATTTTCCCCTCAATTTAACTTCACCAAAAAAGTATAGAAAAACGGATCACCATTATGCATGCAGCAACTTCAATCTAGAAAACAAGAACTTGCAACTGACCTTGACAAGTGGTGGTCCAGCCAAAAATATGGTTGCATTACCCTTGACCATCACACTTTCATCAGCCATAGCAGGAATGTAGGCACCACCAGCTGTACAAGAACCTAATACCAGTGCAATCTGTGGGATGCCTTCAGCAGACATTACAGCTTGGTTGAAGAAAATTCTTCCGAAATTATCCTTGTCGGGGAACACCTCAGCCTGCTTCGGAAGAAAAGCGCCACCACTGTCGACGAGATAGATGCAAGGCAGTCTGCATCGAGCAGCAATCTCTTGCGCCCTAAGATGTTTCTTTACTGTGATGGGATAGTAAGTTCCCCCCTTGACTGTAGGATCATTTGCTACAAACATGCAAAGTCGGCCATGAACAGGACCTATTCCAGTAACTACTCCGCCAGAAGGCAGGGATTCATCATATAATTCGTGGCCTGCAAGCTTTAAGCCAACGAACATAAAGTAAGCACCAGAGAAATGAGACATTTCAGGTGACCACATATCAGGATTGCCTGAAACTTACCATAGCCTTATATCATATGATCCAAAGCATTACAGCTAATTTATTTCACAAAAGCATGAGGACTTGAAAGGTCCAAGTACCTGAGAAAGCTCAAGAAATGAAGAACCTGGATCAAGCAGCCGGTCAATTCTTTCTCTTGGTAGCAGCTTATTCCTGCTTCTGTTCCTCTTGACCGCCGATTCTCCTCCTCCAGCCAAAACCTCCAAAATAAGCAAGACGCAGGGGGAAAAGGAACCCAACCCACATCAGAATTCTCAGTTTCTCACACTACGAACATCAGAAAATTTCCCATTTCTTACTTCGTTTATGTTGGACTGGAGCTGGGAAATGAGAGACTCCATAGCCATAGAGTTGCGGGAAAACGACTCGGAAGTCCTGTCCACCCCATCGGGAAGAACCCCAAAGCTGAAACCTCTTGTGCAGCGCAGAAGATGAAACGAGGTCGACTTGGATGCTAAAGAAGCCGAAGCAATTCTTCTCGCCACAATCCTCAACATATTTCCCCTTCTCAACGACTCCCTCGCTTTTCCTCCAAAAGTAGGGATCTTGCAGTTTCTATCCACTCTGTACTTCGTTCTTCTTCTTCCCTTCCCGATGGTATTTATTATATATGTATGTGCCTTTTCTCCGTTTCTTCTCTCTTTCTTCAATCTTCAGTGATCGGATTCAGTAGTGTCATCCTCATCTAATCCATTGCTGCGTTGGCCTGCTCTATTGCCTAATAATCCTGTGTTTTTCACTTTTTCTTATATTTTTTCGATTCTCTCTCTACAGCAATGATGTACTAATTAGCAGAAAGTAAATATTTTCATTTTTTTTTTAATTTCGGATAAGGGGGACGAGCCTAGACTCTAGAGTTAAGTGAAGAGTCTAAAAATGGTCGCGCGCCTTTCCAGTTAAGCGGCACAGGGAAGCAAAGCAATTCGAGAGCCATCAATGGAGTCGTTCTTCTGTACGCTATGTCCTGCAAAGCTTCCTTCTCTCAAGTTCTATTATTCAATGGCTGTCACTCCTCCTTCGTCTCTGACTTGCGCCTCCGTGATGGAATCTCCCTCACGGCGAAAATCAGCCGCTCCGAGAAACCGCTCTTCGAAACCCATCTCCCAGACGGCTTCCCCTCAAATACCCACGACTCCAACCACCAGTAATTCCGACTCCACCGCTCCCATCTCCGCCGCGCCTCCCAAAAAGGTATCTCCTTTTTACTTCCAGTTGGATGAATGGAACAGCATTAGGTCTGATTGAGTGGGCATTGAAGAAGTCTGATCTTTTCTTGCAGGTCCTTGTTCCCATTGGATTTGGCACTGAAGAAATGGAAGCTGTGATATTAATCGATGTTCTGCGGCGAGCTGGTGCAAAGGTCACTGTTGCCTCAGTGGAACCGCAGCTAAAGATTGAGGCTGCAGCTGGGAGTAAGCTAGTTGCTGACATCTCCATTTCTGCTTGTTCTGAGGAAATCTTTGATCTCGTGGCTTTGCCGGTTAGTCGTTTCGTTTTACTTCCAAATGATGAACCTAGTTGTTTGCTTTCAAATTTTGTTTAACTTGTTAATTTAAGAACCACAGGCATAGTTTTGAAGTACTCTAGAACTATAATTGCAGCATATGGGTTGTTTTAATGTAGTCTATGATTAGGGAGGAATGCCGGGCTCGGCTAGGTTGAGAGATTGTGAAGTTCTGCGCCGAATTACAAGCAAGCAGGCTGATGAAGAGAGGTTATATGGTGCCATATGTGCAGCTCCAGCTGTCACCCTTCTTCCATGGGGCCTCCTAAGAAAGAAGCAGGTTGCTTACTTTGGTTACGGGATTGTCAGTAATATATGGATGCAGGATGAACTGTGCTTGTATTTGTATGTTTCAATTGCTAATTGTTCTGTAGCGTGTAATGCAAGATCACATGCCACCCAGCATTCATGGACAAGCTCCCCACCTTCTGGGCTGTTAAATCAAATCTTCAAGTTTCAGGAAAAGTTACTACGAGCCGCGGGCCTGGAACATCTTTTCAGTTTGCTTTATCCTTTGTGGATCAGCTGTTTGGGGAGATAGTTGCCAAGGAAGTTGCAGAGATGTTGGTAAGGATAAGGATTGCGCATTCCATAATTTGTTTCCTGAAGTTTATCAAGAAACAGTCTAGCAAATTGAATGAAGTTTGTATTGCTTTTGTTATAGTTGATGGATACAGGTGATGATAACTGCAGAAAGGAAGAGTTGAACCCCACAGAGTGGTCTTTTGAACATAATCCTCGTGTAATTGCTCGCTTCCCCCTTCTATCTATCTCTCTCTTTTTTCTTTAAATAGATCCCCATTTGCTTACATCCTTAGATTGTCGTTAGTGTGTTCAACTTACAACCATCACTCGACAGGTGCTAATTCCAATTGCTAATGGCTCGGAAGAAATTGAAGTAGTTACCATTGTCGACATTCTGAGGCGAGCCAATGTGGAAGTTGTGGTTGCTTCAGTTGAAAAATCTGTGCAAATTTTGGGATCACAAGGTACAAAAATGGTTGCAGACAAGTTCATAGACGAGGCTGCTGAATTTGCCTATGATCTTATAGTTCTCCCGGTAAGCATCCTGCAATGTTTTCAGCCTGCACTAGAACCAAGGACTAGACTGGACACATTTTCAAAAGTTTCCGTTCTGCAAAATTTCAGGGTGGAAGTGCTGGATCAGATCGCCTTCAGAAATCAAAAGTTCTAAAGAAGCTACTGCAGGAACAAGATGCAGGTGGAAGAATATACGGAGCAGTTTGCTCCTCCCTATTCGTTCTGCAGAAGCACTGTCTGCTAAAGGATAAGAGAATCGCTGCACATCCTAGCATTGGTAACAAGTTAACGAACGAAATGGTGAATAGCGCAAAGGTAGTCATTGATGGAAGGTTGATTACCTGCAAGGGACTTGCTACTGTAATGGATTTCGCACTAGCTATAGTGACGAAGTTTTTTGGTCATTCTAGAGCAAGAAGTGTCGCTGAAGGCCTTGTGTTGGAGCATACTAGAACTTGAGAGAGAGAGAGAGAGAGAGAGAGAGAGAGAGAGAGAGAGATTGTGCAATTCACGTTGAAGTTCAAACCATAATCTCATATCTCATGTTACCATATGCGAACAATCCTCCTAGTGAAAGGAAACAAATATCTACTACAAGTCCACAACAAAGAATATACAGACAACAGTGGACTGTAGCTTGCATTGTTTTCTTAACTTAATAATATGAATTCCCTGTTCCTAAACTCCACAAGGACAGCATTACTACCAATTTTTGTAATTTACAGGGAAAAACTCACATCATCTGCTCCCTACAAACGACGACAGCTAATCTACCCTATATAGGTTCAGTAAGTATTCATATAAGCATGCCCAGAGGTTGAAATGTCTCTCAAACGCGTACTTCTTCGAAAATGTGTTGATGTTGATCCTACCAAGGCCCTGTCAGTGTTCTCCTCAAGCATAGCCTTTTCCCTCCCCATGGATGATTCATTTTCTCCAAGAACTGCAATCACAGGAAAAAGGTAAATCGACATTTGACACATAAGAAGCCATCTATAATATTGATATCCAAAGGAAAGGGATAAGAAGAGCTTCTCACCTGATTCTTCTGCATCTGCATTATTTCAGCCTGTACAAAACCAGCCAGAGTTTTTATAAGATAATGTGTAAGGAAGGCTGAATCTTCCAACATCTTACAGGGGCAATTTTAGAATGAACAGTACCTGTTTCCTTTCCAGCTCTTCATTCAGCTCTTTCAGTTTCGCCACCTCAGCTTCCAGTTCCAGCGTATATGCCTATTGAAAGATAATGCAACATCAACCTTATGTACATAGTACACACTACAGGCTAGGGCATTCTACCAAGATATTAAGAATCTACAGGTCACTATAACTATGCCCACATTGGAAAACACAGATTGTCACAAATGAAGCACACACAAATCTGAAAGATAGTCACCTGCTTACGAGCTCGAGATCGTGCAGCAGACTCCCTATTCTTAATCATCCTTCTCTGCCTTCTCTCAACAACCTTCTCCAAAGCCGTATTAGGTTTTCTGCCCCGAGTAAACACATAAGGAACCGGCGACACAGATGAGGTATCAGCATCACTCCTCGAAAGCACATCAGGCGATATCTGGCTAGCAGGAGAAGCTGTTGCAACTGTAACGCCTCCAGTTCCTAAACCACCCACACGACTTAAACTGTTATTGTTTATACCCGTTGAGGAGTTTTCCAAGCCAACAACACCAGAGCTCCTCATCCCTTGGCTTGGTAGCTGTGCACCACCATTCACCATGTGCATTGGAGATGCAAATGCCACTGTAGCTGGCTTGGGAAAGAGTGGCGGTGGCTGCTGGTGCTGACTCCTAGGTTGATGATGCAACTGCTGAGATGGCTGCTGCTGCTGATGATGATGATGCAACTGCTGAGATGGCTGCTGATGATGATGATGCATAGAGGGTCTGATTCCTCCGACATTCATCCCCAAGCTCGAGGCTTGATTTGGTTGGTGTTGGAATCCAAGTGCCAAACTGCTACTGTTGTTATTATTCAGTTGACCTAGTTCGCCAAAGAATCCCACATTGTTATTCTCCCTTCCCATTTGCTTGTTGGTATCCTCTCTAACTACACCTGCTCTAAACAGGAACTCCTCCAGTGTCATCTCTCCCAGCGTTCGCTGCCTCTGAGGAGGATCAGGTGGAGCAATCTCCTTGGCTGCTACCGTGTTCTCTTTTATGAAATCTTTCCAAACTTCATCAACGGTTTTCTGACTTAAGGTCCTAGGCAAAGTTAAGGAGCCTTGTCTCTGTAGATTCCCGCCTGAAGCACCAGCTTCGATGCCAGTTTCCTCAGCCGAGCATATGTTTTTGAGTAACTCGTCCATGTTCATTGAGCCAAAATCTTTCCCTAGGCTTCCACCCCAGGTGTTCTGAAGCTCATCGAAGGTGAGAGAGTATACTGAAGACTGGCGGACCAATGGAGTGCTGACAACTGGTGGTAACTTGGTTCCTGCACCATCTCCAAATGAAGTGTTGGCGAAGTTACTGAAGTTATAATGTGATCCCATTTCCTGAAAAGGCCTTCAAGTTTGTCCAATGAAGTGCATATAATGGAATCTCCCAGTCCTTTTTAGCTAGTGTCCCTTCAAATTGCAATAACTACAATAGAAACATAAGGTAAAGCAAAGCGTCAACAATAGTTGCATATTTAGTAAAACACAGTGAAAGTATGAAATTGAACCCCTGTAAACAGTCCCCTAAACTGAAAAGCTTGTCAAATGTGAACTACTGATTGAGCCAACAATCTACAAAATGATGAAGCAAAATCCAAGCTTTTCTACAGATCCCTAACATGCAGAAACATCTCACAAGTTACACAGGCAAGCCTCATCTAGCAAGAACCACCGCAGACAGAAAAAAAAAAACAATGGGAAAAATTGACAAATCAGAAAGCCAGAAGGAACGAAAATATCTAGTCCTACCACTACCCGGTAACCTAGTTTCAGCAGTAGATCAAAGGACATAGCTTGTCTTGTTGTTTGGACTTGTCCAAGCATACAGTCGAAAAGATATAGCAGAAATTGGATTAGAAAACCAAAAGTTACTACCTTTTTCCATGATAAACCTTCCAAATTTCAGATCCGGAAGAAAAGAGGGAAGAAAAGCAGAATCCAGATGAACTTATCCAACACCAACCCATTTCCGGGTAACACAGAAAACGCCGAAAATCTCAAACAGCCGCTCAAAATAACGAGCTAACAGCTGAGAATTCATGCCAGAATCCATCTGGAGACCCATTTTCCCCAACTGGATTCCAATATTCACCAATCGAAAAAAAAAGTTGGAAACTTTTCTTCACAACCCAAAAAGGGGAAACGGAAAGTTTGGACTCGTATCAAACCCTAAACCCCAAATCTCCCTAAAAATCGGACAAATCAACCTCTCTGGAAGATCAGAAGCAGCAGGCAAGAACACCACGTAACCCAGTCAAAAAAAATAAACCCAGGATCGCAATTATTCCTATTAAAAAACTAATACAATAAGATGTAAATCACTGAAATATCCATTTACTAAAATAAAATATTAAACACGGAGAGGAGGCAAGAGGGGGATAAACATGGAGCGAAATGGAGGAAAAAACCAAAGGGAAAAAGTAGAGAGGAAAAAAAACTGCTTACCTTAGCTTTTTATTTTCCTGGAAATTAGGAGGTGGAGATAATAATAAATACGGGGAAAATTAATTGGGATATTTTGGTGGCGTGGAAATCGGAATGGAGACGGGGAGAAGGGTTAGAGATAGAAGTTAGAGAGAGAGGGGTGTCGTTTCTGTTTGCTAACCAGAGCTCTGCTCGCCGGCGGAAGGAAGGAGGAGGCGACAAGTGGGCAATTTGCCGTCTTCTCGACACGAGTCGTCCTTTTAAAGCTCCTCCTCCCTCGTCCCTCTCGATTTGGTAATTGTTTGTTTCCTAATTTTATTTTGATTTTTCTGTAGTTTTCTCCTTTGGGTATTATTAATTATTTTATTTGGTGTGTTCGAGAAATTTGAGCCACGGGGATCCCGCTACGTGGGCCAATCGGAGAAGAGGTTGGAAACTGTGATGTGATGGTGCAGCCAATGAGAGGGAGCAAAGTGGGCGCGATCCCGGCCGTTCGTTTTCGGTCTCCGACCTCAATTGTTTAGAGGGGGGAATTTTCCCCCTAGTTTTGAGTATATTAACAGCGACAAATAGTAGGGTGTTCAAACGGTGTGGTTAAGTTGGTAACCGTTTTAAACAGTACTATTTGAATAATTTGGTTTGGTTAATTTTGATAATTGGTTTTGTTTGGTTAAAGTTTCTAGCTTGTTTGGTTTAGGTGGTTTGGTTTGGTTTCAGACACTCCTAACCAGTCAAACCAAATTAACCAGTTAAGTAATTAGTCATATATCTAACATATATTACACATACTTAATACTTTGCATAACCACTCAAGAGTTAAATGTTCATCCTTTTTAGACTCATAAAATATAAAGCTCAATATTGCTCCTTTAGTGTATATTTGTATATGTAAAGTGTACACCACAGCATATGGACGCCTAATTTAGATAAATCTCATACATTATGTGAATGAAAACTTGAAAGGAAGATCCTTTCCAGCCTATGATAATTGCTAAGAGACTAAGTCAAGTCACACAAACACAACAATTCATTAACCCATACCATTGTCATAAAATTTTGTTAGGTGAATACTTCTATACTAATCGTAAGATAATTGTCTTAGTTGCATGATGATAAGGGTCAACTATAAATATGTGTTGATTTTTATGTTTTATTCATTATATAAATTGCGAATTAATGCATTAACCGGAAAATTTTCTCACTTAATGATAATGTGATTTTATATTGGTTAATCTGGTTAACCAATTAACCAAACCAATTAAACTTTAGTTTTGGTTAATTTGGTTGTTGTATTAGTTTGGACAGTTTTGGTTATGATATTGTATTTCATGGTTAATGGAATTTAGCCTTATTTGGTTTGGTAATAACCATGGTCAATTCCCATATAATTTTGGTATCTCATCCCTAAATATTTCGTTATTCCAATCGGTACTTCGGTATCCCAATCGGTATTATCAAATACGCAATTAATTACCTTTGCAATTAATAATTAAATATATAAATTATATTTTATTATTTAATTTAGGGGAAAAGGACTAAGCAAAGAGTTTTGAATTAAGATATTATTAAGGAGAATGGAGGAGAGGAGACATCTCAAGTTCTTGTCAATGGTAAACTTTAATTTGATGAATTGGACGTTGAGAGACGACTATTAATAGTGATGGAATGATCTGTGTATAATTAAATGACACTCTTGGTGGTTGAGGGTCATGTAGTAGTGAATGAGGGAGTCTAGTTGAGAGGATAAAATATACACTAGCTTATATTTCGGTATTGATCAGTATTTCGGTATATACCGATTCCAATCCCGTAATCCCTAATACCGAATAACAATTGAAATTCAATTACAATCTCAATTTCAAAAAATAATACGTGTATTCGGTAATATCAAATGTAGACAAATTCGATACGTATTCGGTATATCCCAAATACCGGTACCAAACTCTTTGAGTATATTAACAGTGGAAAGATATGCGATCTCTGTGTTTCAAGAAATTCAAGACATAGAGGACAAGTCAAGTCCACTTCAGGTT